ACTCGCTGAAGCTCGTTACAAGGAGCTGCTACCAGGTACGACTCAATCTGTCTGTTATGCTGTTAAGTGTCGGGTATCTAACGTGTTTGTTTGATATTTGTTCAAATTTAGTGCTAGAGCGTCTGAACGCGTTAGAATTAGAACTTCTGTCAGTACCACGTCGACCTTGAGCGCGAGTTCCTCGAGTGATAACTTAATCTCAGCGTCTGATGAGCAACCAATGACGAAATGGCTGCGCACAAAATACATTGTGGAGTGGCTGACGGCTTCTGATATCTTGGAAGTGATACTGGGCGACCGAGAGAGCTGCGCAAAGTACTCTCTCCAGGAAGGCACCCACTTGGAAATGCTAAAGCGCTCGAAGAAGATATTTGGATTTGTTGCAGCTCACGGTCTGCTGACGGAGAAGCACATCGTGCTGATGTGGAAAACCGCGCTCAGCCAGCTTCGTTCAGGCAGGAAAACTGTCTTTGATATCTTGATCACTCTCTGTGGTGTACTGTCGGCTGATTTGATGGATGTTGTCGTGATGCTACTGACGCAAGTTCCTTTGAACGACTATGACGAACTCGTCGTGAATTTCATCAAACGCGTTATTATGATTGCTTCCAAGCTCGTCGTTGATGCTGAGACGGGTGGATTTAAGATGTCACTAACGTCACTGGTGAGTGCCGCGTCTGGCTCAAGAAACAAACTCAGTGTCAGCGCGCAAAAAGACCTGGAAGTGTTAAACAAGGTGGTAAGTCTGTGTTGCACCCTGTACTGGAACGCGATTCTTCAAACGGACGCACCCAACGAGAGTGGATCACTAGGAGTTCGTCCATCGATGCGAGCTGAAGTAGAGGCAGCTCTTGCTGACTCGTTGAACCACGTCCAAAAGCTATGGATTTCCTCTGGTTCATCATCGTCCACGTCAGGAAAAGAGCAACAGCAACTACTGAGTGGTTATCTAAGCAAGTGTGCAGAGAACATCAAGGCAGGGACGCTGGTGGAAACGTCCATGAGTCTGATTCAACGGATTGTTGATGGCTACGGCGGAGGCTCGTCTTCATTGGCTGCTTCACTGACAAGAGCTAATTCAACTCCAACAACGCCCAGTGAGTTGTTGAAAGAGCTGAATAACGCTCACGACATTGTGTCCGTGGTCGTTGAGGCAATCAAAAATTGTGTTGTTCAAGCCGATATTAAGGATCGATCACAGACTGCGCATCTTATTGCCATCAAGAAGCGTTTGGCATTTCTCGGGTATATCGTGACAAAGTCTGATTTAAAGCTGCCTTTTGAGGCTGTATGCCAATTGTGGGGGTGCTTCAACGGTCCAGAGAGCACGATGGGTGAGCACGAAGTATTCTTTGCGTGGTTCACGACGGTCATCCCCGATCCGAATAACTTTGTTCATCGAGCGTACTCGGGTCAAACGGGCTTTTCTGAAGCTGTTGTGGGAGAAATATTCCAGTCTTTGATTATGCCTTCAAGTCCCAATGGAAGCGCTTCCCAGATCAGTCTGGATATGAAAACGATGAGTAAGGAATCGTTCTGGGCGTTGGAGAGGTTGTTTCGGTTCGTCAACACGAGCACGAGGCGTATTTCTTCTACTGGTGTTGTTGGGAGCACCCAATCGCGTAGTGTGCCACCCAACAAGGAGGATGCGGGATTTTTTGTCGTAGAAGCGATGGATCTTCTAGGCCTCGAGTCGTTGTATGATGTGGTTTTGCGCGCAGAAAACGATAGTGTGAGTCAGCAAGCTATCAATTACCTCATCTATCTGCAACTCCACGTCGGTTCCAAGCTCGTGCGGCGTGAGGTGTGGGCAGATTTTGTGGAAGGGTGTCTTTGGAGACTAAAGGAGGAGGCAAAGACCACGATCGATGCTTCTAAGACGCGAAAGGTGGTTCGTCTATTGGTATTGCTCAGTACTTTCCTTTACCAATCCGTCGTGCAAACACGAGACGACGCTGCTGCAGGAGGGACTTTTGATGGACCAGAGGAGTTAACCGTTTATGTTCGAACTCAAGGTGGCCGAGTTGCAGCGCCATTTAAGTATCACTTGAGACGAACTTCGCTTGTTTCAGAGCTGCGAGATCGAATTGCAAAGGATACAGGTCACCCAGCTGATCGAGTTCGCATTGTGAACTCTGCCAAGACTAAACTGACAGCGCAAGGGCATGGAAAGTTCACACTTGAGAAGGCAAGAGTATTTTTTACTTATTCTCTTGGGTCTTCGCGCTCGTCTTCTGGAAAGAAATTGTTGACTCAAACTGCACCAGCTCCTTCGCGTAGGACGAGCAAGCGTACTTGCTTCGTCGAGGCGATTTTATTGTCAAAAGTGGAAAGTGATACCAGTGGGCACACTAATCGCAGTATTTTGGACTTCCACGGAGCCGCTGCAGGTGTAGGTGGCACTGGAAACAACAGTAGTCCGGAGAGCGACTGGCATGCGATTAAAACGGAGATATCAGAAAATGATACGTGGGTGGCACTGTTGTTTAAGCTGCTTTCGTACAACGACGGAATCGCTGAAGAAGCTTGGAAAGTCCTCAAGTTGCTTACAGTGGAGGAGGAAATGGAAAAGCAGACGCGTACGTTGAATAACGTGCTAGCAATTGATGGGTCTATTCGCAAGAAAGCCGAGCTCGTTCGAGTGGGAACCGCTTCTGGATTCAAAGTGCCCTCCAAAGCTTTTGTATCAGCTTGAGTTGGTGGAGAAGTTCGCGCTGTGTGGTGATGGACGCAATGACGATGACGACGACGAAGATGAAGATGAAGGTGACAATCCGGCCCCTGCGAGCGCCGTTGGTCTTGATGGTTTGATTGGCACTGTGAATATGTGGAGTGCGTCTTTTATCGAGCTTGGTGGCCGGGCGCTACTCGAAGAGTTTGTCCTATCGTCGATTCCACGTCAACTACTTGCGCAAGGAACGCTCTCGGTGATGTGTTTGTCCAAGCTTCTCAAGTTGCTTCGCCACTTTGTCGTTGTGGAGTCCAAACTAGCAGACGAAAATGGGGATACTCTTGAAGGAAATCCTCAAAAATTGATTCATCGTCTCCTGGAAACGCTGAGCAGTCTTCAGGGTGTCGACAGGGGAATCAAAGAGTCTGTTTTGTCTACCCTGTCGTCGCATCAGCAGCCAACAGTGAGTAGGGAGAGTACTGCGTCGCCTCTTTCTCTAACGGAGTACACTCGCCCACAAGTTGAAGACCCGGACAACATCGACGACATCCCGAGTGATGCGTACTTGATGACTCGGCTGCTATCTTGTATTGCTACCTGTACGCTTGAGGTCAGCCAAGGAGCGTTGGTTTTACTTAAGAGTTACGCAGGTCACGGCGAGATCGTTCTTTATTGTCTCGTCGAGAGTCGCTTTAAGCCTGTTCGACTGGAGGCTGCCAACGTAATTGCAGCGTTGTCTACCACTAGAAACAAGCTTCAAGAAGATCGTGTTGCGTGCTGCAACTACTTCCTGCAATTGCTGGGCGATTATTCAGGACCCGTGAGTGATGAAGAATATTACAATGTGTTTACACTTCTCATCACGAGTGCAGAAGACTTGACGAAGTTCGCAATTCTCCCGTCCAGCCAAATCTTGTGTCGTCGGATCAAGGCCCTCGAGATTAAAGATGATGCTATCGGTGCTCCAGCTGACCCTGTGCCACCTACTTTTCGAAGAAGTAGTATGGAAGGAAACAGACGCAGAATTCTGCCTGCTCTAGGAAACCAAGTGCTTCCACCCGCTCCAGATGCTCTTTTAGAAGGACAGCTGTCCACGCTGCTTGCTATCATCAAGCGAATCCCGGCTATGCTAGCAGACGATGCTCTTGACGTGCCGTGTGATGGACGCAGCTTGCGCGAGGTGATCGCGCCCACCCTTCACGACCAAGAAGGGATTATACATGAGCTGTTCCACGAGTGTCTATTTGCTACACCAGACAAGCAGGGAAATGGAGAAACTCACAGCAAGGCAAGTGAGTGTGGGGTTAACGATATCCAGGCGTCTTCTTCGTCTCAGTATTATCTTCGGCAACCCAAGTGCCGGAGTGATTCGTGTCGTAATGTCGCCTTTGATCTCCTTGCGGAGCTGTCGATTGATAACACCGACGGACTGCGCTTTCTGCTAACGCAAATGGCCAATCAGCACACCCTGGAGCGTCCTCCAGAGCCCTCAGTTGCAACATCAGTGGTCTCGACGTCAAAGCGAAAGAGCTTAAAGACGGCGAAGGACCAGTTCCTTCAGCGTGGTAAATACGTGGGTCTGAAGAACCTTGGATGCACTTGCTACCTGAACTCCACAGTTCAGAGCTTCTTCATGATGCCGCGCTTTCGTCGGCAGGTGTTGCGTCTTCAATCGAGTGGGAGCAGCAGTGACAAAGCTGAAGCGAAGAGCCTCACATATGAGCTTCAGTCGTTGTTCGCTCATCTGGAAGGAAGTGCAAAGCCCTACTACAACCCACGTCCGTTTACTCGCGCAATGAAGACGTGGGACGGCGAAACGGTGGATGTGAATATCCAGCAGGATGCCAGCGAGTTTCTCACATCTTTCTTCCAACAGATCGAGTCGGAGATGAACGGTATCAGTGCTGGCAGTGGTGATCAGTACACAAGCGATGAGAATATTCTCAACACCTTCTTCGGTGGGGAGTTCAGCAATGAGCTTGTTGCTGAAGGAGATCGATACAGCGAGCGCTTCGAGCCCTTCCACTTCATTTCCGTGCCTGTCCGTGATCGAAAGAACCTGAAAGAGTCGTTGGATGGATGGGTGGAAGGTGAAAAGGTAAGCTACACGTGGGAGAACGGTAGTGGTGCGAAAGCTGACTCTGGCGAAGAGGAAGAAAAGGTGACGCTGGAAACACACAAGCGTATCTCCATCTCGAAGCTGCCTGCCTACTTGATCATCCACCTGAAGCGCTTCGAATTCGACTTTGAGAAGATGCAGCAGATCAAGCTTCACGATCGTTTTGAGTTTCCTACTGAATTGGACATGTATCCGTACACGAAGGAAGGTCAACAAGAGAAGAGGAAGAGATCGAAATCATCGGTGGAAGAGGGAACCGGCAGTCACGACGTCCGACTGAGTTCGTCCTCGGACAACGGAGACGATGGGAGAACGACGGCTCCAGAATACTCCCAGTATGAACTAGTGGGGACTGTGGTGCACCTTGGTACAGCTCACTCGGGTCATTACTACTCGTTCTTGAAAGATCAGCAAGTGCCAGGCCACACGAACCCGTGGTACGAGTTCAACGACACGCTGGTGACTCCGTTTGACCCAACTCAAATACCAGACGAGTGTTTTGGTGGTGAGGACTCGGCACTCACCCGGCATGATTCAGCCAGTGGATCGGCTTCGCTCGAAGAAGGGTCTCCGTTACCAGCCAAGATGAAGAATCGCAGTAGCTTCATGTTGTTCTACGCTCGCGTATCTCCCGAGCTGCGTATTGTCCGTGATGAGGACGCTCCTTGCGTCGGCTTCTCTACTGCTGTAATTGTGGCAGCATTTTGCTCTAGGCTAAAGCGGCGAGCGTCTGCCAGACTTTCCCATCTGCGTAGTATGGCTCTGGTGATTGCACCGGAACCAATTCGCAAGCTCATTGCGATGGAGAATCGCCTCTTCTGGCGGAAGCGGTATCTGTACGACACGCGCTGCCTCAAGTTCACGTACAATCTGCTGCGATCTTGTCTCGTGGGACTGGAAAACGCCAAGAATATGGCAGTGATGCCACGCTTCGAGCCTGTGGAGGTCCAGTTTGAGGCCTTACAAGTGGCAACCAAGTTCGTGTTCGGCACGCTATGGCAAGGTGGTGATGTGAGCAAAGTTTTGGAGTGGCGTCTCATTCTCCAAGCTCTGTATCACTCTGACATTGGTGGCTGTCGCTGGTTCTTGTCGACTATGGAGGCAAACGAGGCGCTGCTTCTGGAGTTGCTGGTGTTTAACGAGCATCGTGAAGTGCGCGAGTTGATGGCAAATGTCATTTCGGAAGCTATTGTCACGACGTCCAATACAGAGTTCGAAGAGGAGGCAAAAGAAGAATCCGAAAGTTCTTCTGGCGACGGGAAGAAGCGCTTGCCTGCGTCATTCGAGTTCATGTTCTTCCTGATCCAGCTGATGCCTGCGTTGCTTTCGGTGCCTGTCCAACACCATCGTCAGTATTTCCTCACGATGTACGACTTTGTGCAGACAGGACGCAACGAAGGCTCCTTCCTCGTAGTGAACAGTGTGGTTGGCGCCATCGTGTCGCTTCTTACAGGCCTTGGAAACACGCAGCCACTGCTCCAATTGCAGTTAAAGAAACACAAGTCGAAGCAGATCCTCAAGCGTATCGACCTCAACGTCACGATATTGAAGCTCTTGTCGGTGCTGATCCGTTGCAGCTTGCCTCCTGCCATGGACGTCGAGTCGGATGCTGAGCACCCTCTGATTCTACCGGCTAACATGGCTCAAGAACACGTGGATCTCACACCAGCAGACCACGACGTGCTTCTCAACGAGCGTTTCATTACTCTGCTCACACAGCGCGCGAACCGCTACACCAAGGAGACGAAACCGTTGGAGCAAATTGTGAGTCATCTGTGCTGGGAAAGTCGACGTGTCACTGCGGCCTTCCTGGACAAGATCATACATGGCATTGAAGTGGAGGACCATCACGACGTCAAACCATACTTCCGAACACTCAATTCGCTGCTTAAGGTCCGCGATTCCCTCGCTGGAGAGCGTCTTACCGACGGGCTCACGAAACTGGTGGCGGTGATGGCGTCGCAGCAACGGTATTATAAGGCCACGGAGACGTCACTGGATATGCTGGCACGACTTGCCAAACGCCACAGTGGCGTGACAAGATGGCTGCGAGACAACCACCAGAGTTGCGTGTGGATGGAGAAGTGGCTGATGGCTCATCGAGGTGCCGAGGGATATCTGCAACAACGCAAGACTGTCCTGGTGAAGCCCAATAGCACGTCGTCGTGGGTGAATGTGAGCGCAACGAGTTCAGGGCTCATCAAGGCAATCGATCGCTCCATCACAAAGTTGCTTCCACGTGTCCGCAGCATTTTAGACCCGGAAGCTGTCGTAGAAACATTTTACGACAGCGACGACAACCCGCAACGTCTTGTGGGCAAACGCGTGCGTGTGAAATGGGCCAAGGACAAGTGGTACGAAGGCACGGTGCAGCAGTTTAACGAGGATACGTACGAGCACTTTGTGGCATACGATGACGGCGACAAACGGTCTTATCACATGTCGGAGAAGCTTTTCTACGTGGTGAGCCTCACGCCGTCGCCTAAGTTTCGCAAGAAGAAAACCCAGCAGCAGCAGGCTTGACTTGCGAGCTCACAGTTGTAGTTTATTCTATAAGTGTATGGCTTTCTTGAACAAGTTGGCCATCCTGTTGTGTACTGGCAGATTGAGTGTGAAGCTTGTTTTTGGGTTCTGGTGTGCGTACGAGTCTGGCTGTGCGTTGATGGCGTCTCCATTTTTGTCGTCGAGCATTGCAACGGTCGACGTCTATTGCTGATCTCAGCAGAATTAGTCCTGGACCATCGTTGACGTGGGCACTTTGAAGTCTGCCGAGCATTAAGATGACGATCAACCCACCAAAATGCGCAGTCAACATGGAGCAGCGACTGGCAGCACTGCGACGCGACCAGGAGATCGACGGGTTGAGGGTCTATCTTATCAAGTACAACCTCTTCCCACGTAATCGAGATCCGCACAACTCGCCCATTCGATTGGAAGAACTAAAAGAACTCGTCAAGCACTGGAAGCTTCATCGACAACGAGGGTTTTGGCGCGATCATCCGGATAAAGACGACCTCGTTCGCGCCTTACTGCAGCATATCAAGAGCGAGGCAGCGAACAAGAAACGACGACAGGAAGCACAAGACAAGTATCGCAGTAAAACAATAAGTGGAGCTGATGATGGCAGTCCTGGCAAGCATCGAGACTTCTCGACGTTCTTCGGTGGCAACGCAAACGCCCACTCGAGTGGAGACGAAGCCGAGAATGACGACGATGACCGAGAACAGTCTGTGGCTGTTGCCAAGAAGAAAAAATGTGGTGGCGATCTGTTCTACCAACGCGGAGACTACGACGAAGGACTCATCTATCTGTCTCGAATCGACAGGTCTCGTTTCCAGTCTGAAAGCCACAATCCCTGCCAGGATCTGCTCACGACGTCTGCTTCAGCACCCACTCCAGTCGACCGTCTACTCCTGACAACTCCTGACGCCAGCAGCAAGCCTAAAAGTGTTAGCGCCACATCTGCGAATGACAAAGAAGGCGAGCGAGCAATGAACCAGATGCCGTCCGTGTTGGTGAGCCCTCTGCTCTCTGGATCCGTAAACACTGCACATTTGACCAAGGATACGAAGCTCAAGTCTGTCGAAGGTCTCTACAGCATTTCGTACCACAAAGGCTACGAGGCTCAACTCCTGCGTGAGGGTGCACTCGCCACGTTGTCCAGCGTCCTCAAGCTAGACGATCCAATTATCCGTCTGTACTCTGCCGCGGCAATTTTGAACCTCACGCATTACACTCCAGCCCCACCTTCGCCCCTGCCTACTCCAGTGAAGAAGAATCAGAGCCAGCCATCGTCATCTTGTCTATTGCCGACGGCACCTCCACAAGCGACTAGAGATTTGTACTCGAAAATGACGGACGAAGGCGTAATTGCAGCGCTGCTGGATCTCGTACATACGCCGCATCCGACCGTCAAGGCTTTGTGCGCTCGAGCACTACTTCGCTTTACAGTTGATGAATCACACCACTTTGCTATGGTGCATGAGGGTGTAGTGGCTGCGCTTTCACAGATTATGGCTGCAGTGACCACAACCACAGCGTCGCCTCTAGCTGCACCGAATGATGTCAAGCTCTTCTGCGTATTAGCGCTCGTCAATCTGTCGGATGTACCGCGTGCTGTCACGTGCGACGCGCTGCTGAACTCAATTATCGTGTTGGCGCGACAGGGAGACACTGCGACGCGAAGAGTATGCGCTCAGGCGCTGCTGAACCTCTCGATTCTTCCGACAACTCGTGGAGTAGTGGTGGACGAAGGAGCGATCGCAGCTCTTGAAGTGCTAACAGCTGTGGCGATGAGGCCCTTGCAACTCTCTCAATTGGAGGTGGTCACCTGTACATTGTGCAATCTGGCGGCCGTGAAGAACAACCAGGATGCACTGACGAAGAACAGCGCATTGACGATCTTGTCAGATATTATCTTAAGCGTGGGGGCAGAGCTGCGTCGGGTGCAGACTGCGGCCAAGACTGTTGCTGATAGTGCTCAAGACGAGGCAGTAGCGAGCTCTCTGTTGATTTCAATCCGCAAGAACTGCGTCAACTCCATCGCGATGCTCTGCTGCAACCCGAAGCTCCAAGTCCGTGTGCGCAACACTGGCTTTGTTCCGAAGCTCCTAAACATTCTTCGAGGCGCTGACGACCAGGAAGACGATTACAGCGATGATGAAGATCACGTTTTCTCGCGTGGTATTGATCCGGAAACCGAGAAATTTGTCGTTGTGGCACTCGCGAATTTGGCGCTCGACGATCGCTGCCGACCTACGCTCGTGCAAGACGGAGTAGTTCCTCTTTTCCTTGGGTTATTGCGAGCTCCAGAACTCCCAGGGACTTACACTGAAGGCGTCGCAGATAACCAAGACGATAAAAGAGCCGCTGCTTTGCTACTTAAGTTGGATTGCGTCACGGCATTGAGCAACTTGCTGCTTCATCCAGCCAATTTTCAGGCGTTAGTGGATGCAGGTGTAGTTCCTGCGTTTTTGGATCTTATCCGTAGCGAGGACACATCCGCTAGCAGTAGCAGCAAAGAGATCCAGAAGGCGTGTGTGTACGCAATGCTGGGTCTCGCCAAAGACCCAGGAGTGAAGACTCGACTGGCGGAAGCTACTCAGAAGCGTCTTGATGACGAGGATTCAAATGACCAAGTCGGTGCAATCCCGACGATGCTGGCGTTCGCGTCGAGGAATCTGTCCAATGCTGAACTCTGCGGTGTCTGTATTAGTTTCCTACACCACTTATCGTCACGAGCTGTGAATCATGAGTTGCTATTCTATGAAGGTGCTGTGGGGTTAGTCGTGCGTGTGTTAAAGAAACCAAGCACAGCGGAAGCACCAGCCACGATATACGCGCTCTGGTTGGACTGCCTAGCAACACTGGCCCACCTCGCGTCGTACGAAGCTAAACGCTGTTCACTGCTGGACGATGGGGTTCTTGAAGCTATCCAACACTTCCTCATCGTCTCGGCTGCGGATCAGCGACCACGCGATGCAGTGACAGACCGAAGCATCATTAAGGCCCAGTACGCTGCTTCGCAAATTGTCTACAAGCTGCACGAACTCTGCAGTGGAATCTCTGTGTCAGCTGGTGCCGGGCCGGTGGACGCACCCGCTTTCTTCGCGTGTTTGCTACTCTTGGCCACCCAGTCAGCGTCCAAGAACTCTCGATTGTCCAAGTCAACAGTTGCGCTGCAGCACCGAACAGCTAGACGAACAGCACTTACGATCGCCAAGGTGGCGCTGGCTCTGCCACAAGGTCTAAGGCGGTTGGCGGAGCATGCTGATATTCCTCCTGCTTTGAACATGGTCATGCGTACGGGTATTCATGAGGCTCAAGTTTGTGCTGCTGTTGCACTGTGCAACTTGGCAGCCGAGCGGCCAGCACCCGCGACAGGCAAACCCCTCTCGAGAGTATGGCGTGATGCAACGGTGGACGACTTCATCGTCATTACGCTACTACGAGTGAATAGTCCACAGACGAAAGGGATCTGTGCGAAGGCCCTGTTCAATCTACTGACACATGAAGACGCACGCGACCAACTGATGCGGGATGGCGTTCTCTACGCTCTCTTGAAGCTGGCTCGGCTTGAAAATGACTCGATCCGAGACCTGGCTCTGCGTGCTTTGTACAACATTTCTTTGGATGCTAAGAAGACGGCGCAACTACTGGAAATGGAGCTCGTGCGGATACTGGCAAAGATGTACCAAGCGGACCTGAATAAAACGATGAAGCGGCTCATGATAGGCATTTTCAGCAACTTATCAAGTGCTTCTTGTGCTCTCAACGATAAAAATGCTGCTACCAATGACGAAGGTGAAGAGAAAAGTGTTGAAGGCGTTGTGGCTACCACGAAGACTGTCGAGTTGCAGATGCTTCAGGAGGGATTACTCAGTGTCCTCAAGAACTTGGCCAAAGTGCGCGATCCTGAGATGAAGCTGTACGTCGCGAACGTGCTGTACAATCTATCGTGCGCTGTCGAGTCGCGCGTCGTGGAGATTCTAGCTCAAGACGAAAGCAATGTGCTGGGAATCTTGATGGCGGAGCTCAAGTCGGAGAGCAAGGACGTGCGCAAGTACGCAGCCAAGACCCTCGCCAATCTCAGTGTTTCTTCTGTTGCTGTGCAGATTATGACTAACGATGCGGCTTGTGCTGTGGTGAGTGTCATCAATGATACCATGAAAGGCGGAAAGACCAAAACAGGGTCGACTCCTACTGGAAGTGGGGCCTCGAGCTCGCTATCTGTCTGCGTCGAGACAAATTGTGCTTGTGTATTTTTCCTACGCAACCTCTTTTCGTTGGAACTGAACCAGCGCAAGTTTATCGCGTGCAATGGGTTTCCAACTCTCGCCGCACTCCTCACAAGTCCAGCGATGGCTTCCGAAGCGCCGACTCTGCGTGTGGCTACCGACATGATCTGCTCGCTCGCTAAACTCAACGCTGAGTCTGGCAAACCTCGAGAAATGTCGTATGAAGAGCGTCTCGTGAGAGATGGGGTTGTTCGCGCCCTCGTGGCAATGGGCAAAGGTGCAATGGATGGATCAACCACACGGGCTGAGGAGAATGCGGCTTGTATGAACATCGTCACATCTTTAAGTAGTTTGTCAGGGCACCCACAGTGTCACGACGCCATGTTGCGTGATGGAGCTCTCGACGCACTCGCAGTCTTGTGTGTGACGAATCCTTCAGATAGTCGAACACCTTTTAAAGGTCTTGTCGGTGTACGTGGAGAGGCATTTGCTCTACATTGCATGGTAGTGATTCGGAATCTGTCGCGACAAGAACCGTCTCCACCTCCGTCTGGACCGCCGTCGATGGACAGTGAGGCAGGAAATGGTGGTCGTGCTAGTAAGGCAGAGGACGTGCGTAGTCAGAGACTGACCTCTCAACCTTCCTTAGTGCCCATCGTGTTGGCATTATCGCAATCCACTAGTCCACAAACTCGCGAGCACGTGGTGGTCTCGCTCTACAACTTGGCTCGGTTGCGTCGTAGTAAACGGCAGATGATCAAGAATGACGCCGTTAAAGTGTTGCTACGACTTGGAACGAGTGCTATTACGCCTTTCAAACGGCATGTCTGCTCCTTGGCGCTTCAAGCTTTGGCTACTCATGTTCCACCACCAGCTCCAGCACAGTCAAATTGTCCCGACCCTACAGCGACTACTGTAGATGCCGCCGCCAACGCTGCTGAATGGGATGATCCTCACGTGGATAAAGTGGTTCAAGAGGGAATTGTGGCCGCAATCGCAGCTCTCGCAGACTCACATCAACACGATTTACTTGTCAGTGTGTCGACGAACTTGTATGTGATTACCACTCCACCTCCGGCGGTCATGGAGTCAATTACTTTGTTGCGTACGACGAATCGAGCGATTGAGCAGCGTGGTGCTCCTCCTGACTGGACCAAAGTGCTGATTACCGATTTGATCTCGTGGCCCGAGATTGAAATGGGTACCAGCAGAACCACTGCTATTCGAGTTGAGAGTAATTTGGCTTTGGGGGCGCTGTCTCCTGGATTACAAGAGGAAGATCACGGTGAGGATCCCTACTCTGATGCTAGCGATGATGAAAGTCGACGAAAAGGCTCACAAGGTAAATCGAGTGGGAAATTATCGAGTCCAAGCTCCTCAAAGAAACAGTCACAGCTAGGTCACAACTCAAATTTGGCTCCCCCGCGAACATGTAGCTCGGACGCGGTGTTGGGGTCTTTTCAAATGCTGGCAGATCCGAAACCAGAGAAAGTGCGAGTGAATGTGGAGTTTGAACTTGCAGGCCGTCGCGCTGTCACCTCGTCTCCAGCTATAGCGTCTGCATCAAGTAATGATGAACTGCCAAAACTCCGTCCCGAGACGGCACCAGAGGGATTAACAGAAGATACTTCGAGACTTGGTGGAAGATTACAGCTCACGCGTACGCAGGCGCGCCAGGATGCTGCGTATCGACGATTAACCAGCAACGGAATTTATCGAGGCAACACTCCAGAGAGTCCCATTAAATCCTCGGCGGCTATCACAAAGCGGAGATCCCACCAGCTAGAACCGCTTTCCACCCCAAATTGACATGTGAAAGGCCGAACAGTAGTTCGGGCCGAACTACTTTTCTAAAAACGGGTGTTAACCGGTCTTTTTTCTTACTTCGATTTATATCCCTTTTTCTCTGAATTAGAACTATGGCTTTATCAGCACTACTCGAACATACTAGGGGGAGATAATACATTTTTTTCTGAGTCGTGCAGAGTTGACTTATCTCTGATAAGTGAATTCAAGAATGAGCGGATCTACTTTTGAGTTTAGCAGACTGAACTGCACCTAATTTTTTTTTACTTGTTGTCGTCCTTCTTATCGGGCTTAATGTTTTGATTAACCCACTTAGTTTCTTCCTTGCCCTCTTTGACGGCTGCGAAGCGCGCAGATACGAACAGAAAATCGCTCAAACGGTTCAGATATCTCTGCACGACGCCGTCCACGTCACCCGCCCCAACGAGAGGCACGACGCTACGCTCAGCTCTGCGGCAAACGGCTCGAGCCACATGGAGGTGCGTCGAGGCGAGTCCGCCCCCGGACGGAAGAATGAAGCACTTGATTAATGGCAATTTCGTGTCCATCTCGTCGATCCAGTGCTCCAGCTGCGTCACATTGGCGTCGTTGAATGCACCAGTGCGGCGCTGTTTGGTTTCGGATGCCGAGGTCAGTGGCGTGGCCACACAGGCACCGAGGTCGAAGAGGCGGCTCTGGATTTGCTCTAACTTGGGCGGCAGGAATGCGTTGGCAGCTACGCGCGCCTGCTCCACGGCCACGCCAATTTGAGCATTGAGCTCGTCCATATCTCCCAACGCCTGAAATACAGCGTCATTCTTGGGGCGTCGCTCACCCGAGAAGAGCTGGGACGTACCATTGTCACCTGTCTTAGTGTACACCTTCATGCCTCGGAAAGAGCCCAAGATCTGGAGTGAATTCGAGCGGGGTGCTCGCAGTGCGACAAGTAAAGGATGCATAAGTCGTTTTTCTGAATGTTTTATTTTACACACAAGAGCAGGTACAGCTGGCAAGTATTATTAATAACAGTCAGCCAGTTGGTGATACAGTATGTTGTTATTTGTACTCTTCATAATTGGTGATACTAGGTTTTTAACCACTCACTTAAATGGCTTCCTGAAGCGGTTTTTAGTCGTATTAAAACAAAAAAACTGCAATATTTAGCAAGCGAATCCTTAAACTGCAGTAGCTACTCTTATTTCCCCTGCTCCTCAGAATCGTTGGGCTTACACTTCGACTTCGACAGTTAGATATATAGGAGTTTCACAGACTCTGATCCCAAAAGTGAGGTCAGATTTAGCTAATTCGTAGCCGTTTTACCGCTGCAGTCTCTCAAAATACGGTAAGTCATTCCGAAGTTTAAAAAAACTCGCAACCTGGCTATGCAGTAATATTGAGTTAATGACGAGATTCATGTGGTTTTCAAGTGAAAGGGTCAATTCAATGCCACTCGTCGTATGGGATACAGATGGCACCCTAGTGATAAAAGACAAAAGCTTTGCAAAGCACAATACATCTCGATTTTTGAATAAGATTGGTGTCAGGACTTCTGAAGAATATTTTAATAACATTATTAAAACTTTTTATAATACTTATTCTGTACGTTTTGAGACATTACCACCTTCTTTAAGAGCCCATGTACTGAATTAGGTTACGTGATGCCTAGAATTCAAAGGCTCACACCCCATGTGACTACGGCATGATCAGGCCGCTCAAAAACGCACTGGCAGAAATTGCTGACGAATGGAAGGAAAAGAGACCGCGTAATTTCGTGTCGGGCGCCAACGCTAAGCCTCCAACGCGCGAAAGAGTGATCGCGTGGATAATAATCGCGTGGGAGGCTGTTGTGCCGCGAGCCGCGCAGATTTCGCAGTTGCTTTGTAAACGGAGCTTGCTCTTGCTCGTCATGAGTTCTACGGCCCTGAGTGTTGCCGCCTTTTTGCTGGCGAATAGTCCTAAGAGATCGTGGACGAGGTGTGAGATGCCAGCCCCTGTGTGAAGAGGCTGCGGCTGCGCACTTACCGACGTGCCACGTGCGGTTATACCAAGTTTACTATGATTGATGGACAAGAGCGACCGTGCCGCCGTGCTGCTCACGACGACACTGACTTAGGTAAAGTATGGTTTATATTAGTTTATGTATCGAATAGAACTTGCGGAGAGGCGTACTGGCTTGCGTGAGGCTTGCTCTCTCTCTCTCTCACAATTCAATTTGCGGTTCAGCGAACCTCAGAGAGAAGAGCAAGCCCACACCAGTACTGCAGCCCTGTCGTGGCCTTTTGCCCGGCACTCACTGTGTTTACGTACCTCTTTTGATTGCTTTACTACTTAAGTGTAAGTCTACTCTAATGGCACCTACGCTAAGAAGTGACCTACGCTTAGAGAGCAGTTCAGTGACGCGCCCTGCGTCACCTCAGGTTATGAACCCAAATAGGGTTCATGGCTCGACAACGGACGCACCCGGTGTGGAAGATCAAAACGCTGGCGGAGTTTTGGCGAATGGGAGTCGAGGAGCGCGCCGATTGGCTGATAATGTGGATGATGTAGCTACTGGACGTGACGATGATGTTTTGTCACACGAAGAAGCTGAACACCTTATCCGGTCATTATCCGGAAGTCAAGGTGGTCGATCATTGGTAGGAAATCTACTTGAAAGATTGCGAACTCGCAACTTTCCAGTTAGAAATCAGCCACCACCGCCACAAAGCAATCCAAGTGACGGCAGCGACCCCAGCACAGGGCACAGCTCCATCCGTGATCAGATGGATGCCCCGTCACTACTTTGGCAACGAGTTACTGAGCATTTTGAGGCGGGTGACGGCGTTAACCCTGATTACGTACGGCGCGAGCTGATGAATCATCAGCTGTAACCCAAGGAAGCTGTGACTAAGTATGTGCAAGACATTGATGCTATGGTACGCCGACTGCGACTAGCGAAGGGCGAGTTTGAAGAGTGGGAACATGCAAGTCTACTTATCTCGAACACGCTGTTGATGTTTCCTGAGCTGGCACGAGAGCACTCACTCTGGATGAGCAAGCATGATCATCGGACCATGACACTTGCTGAAGCGCTACAGCGCCTGCGCACTGCGGAACACTCAAGCAACCAGTTGCAACAGCAGATGTCACTAGCGGCGCCAAGGACAACGCAGTCAAACACGAACCAAGTGAATAATGTGAGCCAACATGCAAGACAAGGACATGCAGGCAAGCGTCAGAGGCAGCGCAAGGGCAAGAATGCTGAGAAGAAACAGCGCTATACCTGTGCTAACTGTGACCAGCATGGCCATTGGTACGCAGAATGTACTGCAAACACTGACATGGAACTGAAACCTGAGTTGGTACAACGACTAAAGAAGAAGAAGGCCAAGAAGCAGGCAGTCTCACTGATTAACTCCGTGCGCCGCGTGCATACGACGCCAACGACTGGTGAGCCGCGTCGCCTGTTTGAGAACTTGGCGCTGAGATCGCCGCACCCAAGTGAAGGTGCGACTGGTGCAAGCCGTGAGAAACGCTCGGTATCACCCATCTACTCTCCGCCATCATGTGCAAGCGATGACGATGAGACGGAGGAACGCAAAGTCGAACCGGCGAATGATGTGAGTGTACCGATGACGCCGCAGCAATTGCAACTTCAGCCCAGTCAAAGCATGCAACTTACCCAAGTTGAGCAACCTACTCAGGCTGTGCAAGGTGTTCAACCCAGTCAAAGCATGCAACTTACTCAAGTTGAGCAAACTACTCAAGCTATGCAAGGTAATCAACCCAGTCAGAGTATCCAATCTGCTCAAGTCATGCAAACTGTGCAAAGTACTCAACCTGTTCAAACAATGCAAGCCATGCAGCCGATGCAACTACTGCAACCGATGGCGAGTACTCAGCATGAGATCGGAACATCGTATGGATGGCAGATACCGACTATGGATGCTGCGCAGCACCAATGGGGGGTTGACATTTTCTAAGACCACTTCCGACGTGGGATGCACTGTTCTACTCCTTAGGCCAGGGATTTTCGAGTGGATTACAGAGACCTACGTTTGAGCCAGGCCATAGAGGTGGACCACAAGTGGGTTCATCTGTACCAGGGGATAACTACCAAGGTCGTTATGCTGAGCCACAAGGATATCAAGGCCTTGAAGGACGACTGTACGATGGAGGATCGTATGGTGGACGGAGAGGATCGCATGGACCATCTTATGGAGGACTGTTTGAAGGTGAGTGGCCTGTACTAAGAGAAGCACGTACCAATCAACCCGTTGACTATGGGCGAGGCTACACATCTCCTTTTGGAGGAGGAGACTGCCACCTCGGGAGAATGTTGGACCCCCAAGATCGTCGCTACCGTGCTACTCATCGATGAGAGGTCCACCTGGGCCTCGCTACCAAGGACGTTCGCCAGATCGTGGACGCTCACCCGATCGTAGATATTCGCCAATTCGTGGACGCTCGCCACCTCGCGGAAACGTTAGGCCTTCATTGTCACCACCTCGCTGGCGCTCGCCGCCGAGAAGACGTGCAGGACAGCGTCACTCGCTGCCAAGAGGACGATCACCATTGCGTGGCCCCCAGAGTCGAGGCATGTCGTCTCCTCGTGGACAACCAAGACGCGATGGACCAGTGCAACGCAGACGTGGAGGACGCAGTCGGTCGCCACGACGGAATCAGATGAGTCACTACGGACCTCAATCTGAAGAAGGACGCCAAGGAAGTAACAGTACCCAAGGCAATGAGACAGGTCCCAGAGGTGGACCAACTCAGGGTACTGAGACCAGCCAAGGACAAGGCACTGCGAGCCAAGGTCAGACGTTTTTAGTGAATGCAGTTGGACGAGATGAGAACATGCAATCTGTTGAGAGAAACTTTACGGAGTGGATCCTCGACTCGGGATCACAGGCCAACATTTGCGGTGATCTATCTCTGTTCACGACACTGCGAGAAGACAAGACGAGCCGACTCGACTTCGCTAATGGTACTACGGAGCACACGACGGTTAGTGGCTCTGTCCTACTGCGAGTGATCAACCAAGCGACTGGTGAGCTTGAGGATCGTCTGCTGGATGATGTAGTCTACACGCCAAATGCCAAGGTTAACCTGATTAGTATAGGATACCTACAGACTACAGGAAACTACAAGCTGATGGGCTCAATGGACCAGAAGACGGCGTGGATGTCGAAACCAGGCACTATCCTAAAGTTTGAGATGCGAGACAATCTCTACCGGCTGCGGAGGGAAAAGGCAACCGGTGTGATGGTCATGGCCATGGCTAAGTAGAGGACAAGAAGACGATGGAGCTCCTACATCAGCGCTTTGGCCATCTACACATGGCTTTGCTTCAGGTGATGGCTGATAAGATGGACTTGGGGGTAAAACTCAACACGAAAGATCTGAACAACGAATGCATTGCCTGTGTTGTGAGCAAGACAAAATCCATGAGTCACAAACGACTTCCAGTTCGCTCGACTAAACCACTTGAAACTCTGGCTATGGACATATGTACGATGAATGTGGAGACAGCAAGTAAAGCTACTATGTTCATGTTCATTGTGGATGTTGCTACGAGATACAAGTGGGCCTATCTACTTGAGAAGAAGAGTCAAGCTACCTGGTTCGTCTTAAAGCTGCTAAAGGAGTTGCGGACGCATTACAAAGACTACAGAGTGTTGCATCTTCGGTCGGACCAAGGTGGCGAATTCGCTGGAGCGGAACTGCATGAGTACTGCGTTGAACACGGCATCGTGCAGCAGTTCACGAACGCGTACTCTCCCCAAGAGAACGGGATCGCAGAAAGGGCGAACGGCATTGTACTGCCTCGTGTGCGAGCGCTGCTGACAGCAACACATTTACCGAAAATGTTGTGGGGAGAAGCTTTGCTGCACATGGTGACAAAACTAAACATGCTACGCATTAAGATATTGGGAGTGACTTCGTCGCACGAG